GGCTCAGAGATGTCTCCAGAACAAGATCCTTGTCCCAGCATTCTTTCAGTATGTGTTTTTCACCTTTTCTTTGCCCTTCCAGTTCTGAAACTTTGCAGGCTGTGTGGATCCTGATATTAAATTCCCAGTACCAGTGCTTCATTTTAGACAATCTACTTTTTCAGTGCTTAGGAAGTATCAGGCAGTCCTTTGGCATCTAACTGTCACACATCCAGTGCACTCACATTGACTTCCAGTCTGGTATGAAATGGTTTTGGCACTGACACTGATTCTTCCCCAAGCCACCACAGATGCAGCTGATGCCACATCTTGGTCAGTGGTTGTAATGAGGTGGACAGCCTAGCTCCAGGGATCTGGGAAAAAGCAGACCAGTAAAGTGTATGTTCCCTCCAAAGGACCAGAACTTCTTAGCTTCAAGAAGGAAAAGGCTCTGCATACAGTTCTCCCTCTTTTCACTCTGGAGGTTGGCTGGCCCGTTTCCAGTAATCTTAGACATGATCACAGCTGGTTGTACCATATTTGATCAGCCACTGAAGATTTCCATATCCTCACAAGGCCTCTTTTCTGGTCATTCTGGATTAACTACCAGAGCTGAAGCATAATGGGATGTCAGCTGCTATCTGAGCTCACCACTGTGGAAAGTCAGTCTGTCTTTTCCAACCCAGTGTTATTTTAAAGTTCTTTAAGGGTATGGCCTAAGTATTCCTTCCCATGCAAGATCCAATTTCTCCTAGTCCTAACTGCTCTAACCAGGCAATCGTTCAAAACAATGGCCATCTACTTGCTATTACATCGTGCCGTCACTTTGGCAAGAAGGGTAAGTAAAGTCCAGGTACTGATGGCACATCCTTCGTATGCAGTAGCTTACCCTGACAGGGTCTCCCTGTGGATTTGCCCCGAGTTTTTACAAAATTCTCAGTTTCACATTGTTAGCAGCCTGACTCACTGTTTGTCTTACTAAAATTTTACTCTTAAAGAACTGTGACATCTGTACATAGGCTTGATGTAAGAACTTCTTGTACTTTAATCTGCAGAGGACTAAGCCTTTCAGGAACTCTGAAGGCTATGTGTTCCCATAACCACAAGATCAAAAAGCATAGAGATTTCTCTCCAAAGACTTGCTAAATGGATCTTGAACTCCATGAAATTGGGCTGAGTTCATTAAGTTTGATTCATTGATTAGAATTTGCTGTACCAGAGCCTAACCTACTTCTTTGGTCTCCCTTCAGGATGTACCTATTCTAGATATTTGGAATTTGCAAGTGGCTACTTGGCTCTATAGATGCACATGGCACCAGGCATTACACCATCGTGAAGACTTTTAGAACATATGCTGTTTGGCAAAGCAGTTCATATAGGACCTTAGGTTCTGTTTCTGGTTGAACAGGGTACTGCTTTGGAGATACCCAGAGTGAAGGACTCGAGAAAGAAAGTTACATACCAGTTTGTGTACCAGGATATGTTGTCTGTATGCACATTCTGCATCCCATGTTTTGTTCTCTCTTGCTTTGCATGCCTGGCACTCTGGGATGCTGTAGTTGATAGAAAGTTGAAGAACAGGAAGTGTGCATTGATGTTTGTGCTTGTAGCATACAGTACAGCATACAACTCTGAGCTCAAGTGCTTGAGGTGCATGTACACCCACACTGAAATAGATATGTGGGCAACACACTGTGAAGAGCTAAGTTGTTTGTAAGTAACTTCTCTTTCTCACCAGCTTTGAGTATCCCAGTCTCTCTCCTTCTCAATTTATGTAAGTTGGTGCCTAATTTTTCTGCCTTCAGAAATTATTTGGCAAAGCCACATACACACACACAGTATACAGGCATTCAGAGATATTATGTAATATAAAACAACATCACATTTATGAAATATTTTAAGCAATATATAATAATAGAAATTTGGTAGGTAGAAGGTTTCTGGACCACAAAACAGCTGAAACTTTCCTTCATAAGAATGGCTGCACCAGTGATCAGTGAGAGCTTCAATATAGCCGTAGACATTATAAAAGAGAATTTCAGCTTAAGCCACGAACAGGCATCAAGTTTCTGCTAGGAGAATCTGTTTTTCCCAATAGAAACTACATGCGTACAAGCGTTCATTAGTTTTTCAGGGGAAAGAAACATGTCCCTTCTGGGGGAGAGATTTTCCAGATGTCATCCTGGAAGACGTCCTTTGCGAGAGAAACTCTTGCAAGAATTAACACTTGCTTACTCCCCGGTATAGTTTTTTTTAAAGCTATTTATAACCCTTTTACTTGTGATGATTACCTGAAGAAATAAATGGATGAATTTTTAGCAGGGGTGAGAAGAGACTGAGAAACTCAATGGGATTTTTTTGCTAAGGAGGTTTTACGAAGTTCATGTATTTCTGATCAAAGCAGAATATTTTTGAGGAGCAACTTGTTAAAATTTCATCATCAATTGGATGACTGATCTAGTATATCCTCTAACGTGGATAAAACTGATGTGGAAGAGGAGAGGACTAGGACTACCAAAATATCAGAGAGTCAGCATCTTGCACATGGTCTTCTGCACATAAGGTTCTTGGTTAGAGAACTCTCAGCACTAGTTTTTCTAAATTACATTCTAAGTGTCCAGTCGACAGCCTTGTCAAAACTATATTACTAAATCTTATTTTCTATAGATTATTATAATCAACACTAGTACTAGTTCCTTCAGGTAAGTGTAGTGCCCCATCAAGGGCAATGCTTGCTTTACACTTGTGTTTGGGACTGTTTTGTACTAAGATTTATTCAGGTAACCTCAGGTAACATTAATTTTTTTGTGTTGCAGGCTCCATACCCACATAACTGAATCAATTCGATAGGGGGTAAAAAGAAGGTGCCAAATAATGTGGGGCCTCTGCAGGACATGCTTGGTAATCTGGTGGTAGCACCAGATGACAAAGCTAATCTCTTTAACAGATTCTTTGCTTCCATTTTTCTGAGCAGGGACAGGGACATCCCCCTCACTGGGATCCCAGATGGACCCAGGGGAGGCGAAGCCAGGCCCAGGGTCAGTGAGGACCTAGTCAGGGAACTTCTGGAGGGACTGGACATGTTCAAATGAGCAGGTCCTGACGATTTCCACCCCAGAGTGCTTAGGGAACTGGCAGAGGTCAGTGCAGGACCCCTGGCACAGCTTTATGAGCACTCATGGTGGTCTGGTGAGGTGCCTGACGACTGGAAAAGGGCCAATGTGGTTCCCATTTTCAAAAAAGGGAGGAAAGAGGACCCAGGAAACTATAGGTCCCTTAGTGTCACCTCGGTCCTGGGGAAGCTCTTTGAGAAAATTATCCACGAGCACATCTGCGAGGGACCAGCAGGGGAGTTTATGCTTAGGGGCAATCAATATAGGTTCATTAGAGGCAGGTCCTGTCAGACCAACCTGGTGGCCTTCTATGACCAGGTCACAAAAGCCTTGGATGCAGGTGTTGCGGTGGACGTAGTCTTCCTGGACTTTAGGAAGGCCTTTGACACAGTCTCTTACCCCATCCTCATTAAAAAATTAGGCATCTGTGGTGTCAGCGCCTACACAGTCAGATGGGTCACAAAGTGGCTGGAGGGCTGCACCCAGAGAGTGGTGGTGGACAGGTCATTTTTGACATGGAGAGATGTGGGCAGTAGGGTTCCCCAGGGCTCGGTCCTTGGGCCTGCACTGTTCAACATCTTCATCAGCAATTTGAAAGAGGAGGTGAAAAGGACTTTGTTCAAGTTTGCAGATGACACTAAGATGTGGGGAGAGGTGAGCATGCTAGAAGAGAAGGACAGGCTACAACTAGATCTCGATAGGTTACAGAGGTGGGCAGGTGAGAATAGGATGGGTTTCAATACGGACAAGTGCAAGGTGTTGCACCTGGGGAGGAAGAACCAGCACCATACCTACAGGCTGGGGAACTCCCTTCTCGCCAGCACAGAGGCAGAGAAGGATCTTGGAGTCACTGTTGATTCCAAGATGAACATGGGCCGCCAATGTGGGGACACGGTCAGGAAGGCTAACTGCACCTTGTCATGCATCCACAGATGCATCACAAGCAGGTCCAAGGAGGTGATCCTCCCCCTCTATGCAACATTGGTCAGGCTGCAGTTGGAGTACTGCGTCCAGTTCTGGGCACCGCACTTCAGGAGAGAGGTAGACAGCATCAAGAGGGTCCAGAGGAGGGCCACTGGCATGATTAGGGGGCAGCAGGGCAGGCCCTACGAGGAGAGGCTACGGGACCTGAACCTGTTCAGCCTCCACAAAAGAAGGCTGAGAGGGGATCTGATGGCTGCCTATAAACTTGCCAATGGGGACCAGCAGGCAATAGGAGAGTCCGTGCTCCCCCGAGCACTACCGGGGATAACGGAACAATGGCCATAAGTTGACTGAGAGTAGATTCAGGCTAAATATCAGGAGTCACTACTTTACTGTCAGGGCGGCTAGGATATGGAACCAACTTCCAAGGGAAGTGGTGCTTGCCCCTACCCTGGGCGTCTTCAAAAGGAGGATAGACAGCCACCTAGCTGGAGTCATTTGACCCCAGCATCCTTTCCTGCCTATGGTGGGGGGGCGGACTAGATGATCTGCTTAGGTCCCTTCCAACCCTACCAACCATGAAATTAGGGGTCACAATAATTTTTATATATGACACTGATGAACTGTGGCAGAAATGTTAAATTTGAATGTTCCCCCTGAATCAGAGATATATAAGGGATGAGTATCATATTTCAACATTGTGGCTAAGATAATGACTGATTAGGAAGACCAATGATGATTATGAATGCTAATAGAATAATCAAATCTTGGTGTTCAGATTGTGACGTTTCATATACTTAGCAGCACAAGTGAATGACAGTACCAAATTTTAAGATATTAGTTCTGTGGGAAAAGCATCAATATTGTAATAGATACAGTGGACATCTTGGACATCCAGTAGAGAGCTTGAAGATAATCTTGAATTGTTGAACTGCAACAAGTATGAAATGTTAATACTTTCACACTAAACCTTTATCTTTTAAGTTATCTACCTGTTTGAAGCATTGACTGGGAAGCCATTGGGTGATGGAAAGCCTCTTACCCACAAGGTACTTTACCTACTGTATTTACTTTAAAATTACACTTTTATATCAATAATCTAGATTAAAGAAAGTATTAAGGTAGTAGGATACTCCATGTGGAACATTTGGACAAACTTTTACGTTATAGCATAAATTAGTCTTTGTACACTGTGTTGACATATACAGTCATGGAATGTGGATTGTCAACCCTGGCTTTATATAAATTGTTCTTACTTATTATAGTATCTCTCACATACCTGAAAAGATCAAAGCAAAAGGCTTGAGAGTTTCAGGAGATTTGCAGGCGGGCATTTGTTACAATAAAACTCATTACCTGAAGTCCTTCAAGCTCACTCACAAGCCACTTCATTAGCAAGTGCCACTTTAACACTGAGGTACCTTGCTGTGAGAAAGGAGAAATGAAGGAATGGCATTTGGCTGTAGGCTCAATCCTGTCCTTAGTCTTGCCTTCAGGAATGGTTGAATGAGGAGAGACTTAACGTTCTCCTGTCTCTCAGTGGTACAAGAAAGGGCTTTTGACAATTGGCATATGCTAATCAAATCACGCAGCTTCTGTGGGAGGCACAGGCATTCAAGCTTGTCCTCTTTTTGGCTGCTGCTTGTATTTATGCTCTTTAAAACTATAAATAGACTCACCAAGTGCTGGTACTTTTGCAATATATGGTGGCTATAGTTTACTATTTAAAACTTGTTAGAGATTAACATTTCTGTCAGTAGAACAAGTAGGAGTGGGCCAGCAGGGTCTCAGCCCTGGGAACGGATTTAGGAGGGACACCAGAGCCCATGCCACTTCAGCAATTGGTGTGTTTGGGGATCTTGCACTGCAGCAGCAGCAGTCTATATTGGCACAGTTCATAAACTCTTAGGCGAGAAGGTAAGTGCTTGGTACCACCCTACACCTTGCTGCCCAGGTTGCCAAAATTCCTAGGTATGCCTCTCTTTTTGTAATGTTTCTCACTTTTATAAAATAGTTGTGGCACTAAGAAATACAAGCATATTTAAAAAACCTATTTTTATTAGTAACAAAGAATGTTAATTTTTTTAGTAAATCATCTATTTCTCCTAGATTAATGCACAGAATAAATAAACAAGTGTTTTCTACTTCATTTTAGACAGAGATTGTGGAAATTGCCCTGGACCAGAAGGGGCTTACAAATGAAAGAAAAATTGCTTTTATTGATAAAAACAGAGATCTTTATATTACTTCAGTGAAGAGATTTGGAAAAGAACAGAAAATTATCAAAATTGGTAAGAACCAAGCCAAAATCCCATTAGCCTGCATTTTGGCAACAAAATTCATTTTTATTTTCAGCAAATGTAATGAAGTCTCTGTTTCTTTGATCAACTTAAAATTGGATCTAACAAAACATTGGGGAACAGGTTACTGGAAACAGTTCTGCTATGGTTCCATGGGAAGGATGAAAGGAAAAATACTGTTTCCATCTCTAACTTTTTTTACGTTCAGTTACACTGAACGAGTAGGTACTTTTTATGCTGATTATCAATCAAAGAATTAAATGTTGCCTTTTAAACTGTGAGCAATATATTTGAGTGAACATCCCAGAATGGATTATAGGAAGGTTCCCCTAGAGCTATTGGTTCATGCAGTCTGACTGCAGATTAGGATAGCATTTTGTTGCAAAGGTTTTCCTCTCCATTTCAAGCATTAAAACTTTTTTTTTTAATGTGGTTGCTTGCCTCTACGGTTTATTCAGCAGCAGTCAAAAAACAATTACTGTTCCCAGAGTTGTGCTTATTGCTGGTAATAAGGGTTGACAGACAAAGCATTTAAAAAATGTAAAAAAATGCTAAGCTGTTATATATTTTTCTATTAGAATGGAAATATAAATGTCAGAAAAAAGTATAATAGAGAAAATAAATATATGTAAGTTCGTAAGAATATATTTTAACTTATGAGTGAGGATGAAATCCATATAAAAGGGCCTGTTAATGACTCTTAAGAGTTACTTCTACGCAAAGCTGTATTTCAAGAACTTTTACATTTTTGACCATTTAATATATTTTTGAAATGCATAATATTCTTTTTATTTTTAAATTAAGGAACAATGGTCCATACTTTGGCTTGGAATGACGCATCTAATATACTTTGTGGACTTCAAGATACTCGTTTTACAGTCTGGTACTATCCCAATACAGTTTATGTAGACAAAGATCTTTTGCCAAAAACACTGTGTGAAAAAGATGCAAGGTAACATAGATTTTTAATCAAAATAATGTGACTATATACTTTAAATTCTGTTCTGAATTTTTCACTGAAATTGTTCCTGAAATGCAATATTAGTTAGCCTGCTTGAAACCAGACCACACAGTTCCTACTTTCAAAATTCTTATCTTGTTTAATCTTAGGCATTATCCATTCAGGGCATACTATAAAGCTTTCAGAATGCATCGGTGGCCGTGGACAGACATTATATTTGTAGTGCTATCTATGCCCTTGTCACACTACAAAACTGCGGGTGTACAGACATGCATCCTACTTGTAGTTCTGAAAAATTTGCATAGGCACTACAGAAATGTTTCAGTTTTAATAGGAGCTTCTCTGTAGCACCACATTTTGCAACACCCGATGCCTTGGAGGTACAGTTACAAGTAGCACAACACAGAGGGCACAGACAGAGGTGCAACTCCCTGCTGGAACTGCGAATGCTTTTCAGGAAGTGTTCTGAGTTACAGCGATCCCCTGGACCAAACAGAACTTCACTCTTGGTGCCAGGGAGAGGAGTATCTAGCTGCTGGCTGTGAGCCTGCAGCCAGTTTCCCTTAGCAATGGCCCTTCCTCTCTCCTGGCCTGTCCCTGTTTTCAGAATGGGAGTGGGGAAAAGGGATCAGAGGGAGCTTGTTCTAGGGGTTCCCCAGCTAGCGTTGGAGGATGGGGTGGGTGAAATGAAGCTCCTCCCCCCCCCCAACTTGGCACGGGAAGGGGGGGACTCCAATACACGCTGGAAAATACCACAGACCTAACTCCCTCTGCTTCCTTACCCCATCCTATTCTGAAAACAGCAACAGGCTGGGGGCAGGACAGATACAAGTTATAGAAGATGCTATGTTTTTTAATGTTTTCATCTGAACCCTCATAACGAGGGTTCAGATATTTATTCAATCGGCCATTTCGGGAAGAAAAACCCGCAGCATGCTTAGAGGCTCGGTAGTGTTACGCTTGCTAGCACCACAGCCGAAAGGGACTTGGGGGTCATGATTGACCACAAGATGAATATGAGCCACCAGTGTGATGTTGCAGCCGGCAAAGAGAGCAAAACTCTGGCTTGCATCCATAGGTGTTTCTCCAGCAAATCCCAGGATATCATCCTCCTGCTGTACTCAGCCTTGGTGAGGCCACAGCTGGAGTACTGTATTCAATTCTGGGCTCTACAATTTAAAAAGGATGTGGAGAAGCTAGAGAGAGTCCAGAGGAGAGCCATACACGTGATCAGAGGGCAGGACAATAGGCCTTATGATGAGAGGCTGAGAGCTATGGGACTCTTCAGCCTGGAAAAGCGCAGGCTCAGGGAGGACCTGGTGGCAACCTATAAGTATATAAGGGGTGTGCATCAGGATCTGAGGGAACATCCGTTCACAAGAGCACCCCTTGGGATGACAAGGTCAAACAGTCACAAACTTCTCCAAGACTGTTTCAGGCTGGACATAAGGACAAACTTCTTTACAGTCTGAGCCCCCAAGACCTGGAACAGACTGCTGCCAGAGGTGGTGCAAGCACCTACTCTGGATTCCTTCAAGAGTCAATTGGATATTTATCTTGCTGGGATCCTGTGTCCCCAGCTGACTTCCTGTCCCTAGGACGGGGGGCTGGACTCGATGATCTTCCGAGGTCCCTTCCAGCCTTAATGTCTATGAAATCTATGACATTTTTTAAGCAGTCTGCAGCCATGCACTTGTGTTTGGTCATGACTATAGACTGCTTTCTGTGGCCTGATCAGGCAAAAATGGTCACTTCTATGTTCACCCAAACGGTTTCTTGCTCTGCCAGCATCCCTCATTGTTCTGCTTCCCTGTCCTCCAAAAGTACAGAGGGAAAATTGACTCCATGATAGCCTGCCAGAGAGCAGAGCTGGAGCCCAGCACAGACTGGGGTTTGCAGCTCAATTGGCACAGCAGTTCCCTGTCCCTGGTGGGAAGAGGGCAGGCTATCAGTGAATGGGCTCTGCAAATGTTTTACAAGGTTCTTAAGATGTTTTACAATGAGATTAAACCTTGCCACACCCTAACGAGGTACAGAAGTGGGATATTTATTAAAATATGCCATCTACCATAAATGATTTGTCCAAAGATATAGTGCATGTCTATCCTGCAGTGACAGCATGTCCTGAGTGGGCCATTCCATGTATACCGCTGCTATCTGCTTGCACACCCATATGCCAACTTCAGAAATATGCCAGAGAAATTCTTCAGGGAACCGTCACAGCTACAACACTGCTACAGTTCAGGTAAAAGGGAAGGAACAGCAAAGCAAAGGGCCTGGTGGTAGGTGGGTTCTATTTCTTTGTCCTGATATGCTATGAATAAGTCTACACTGCAGTGGCAACGTATCCGTGCCAGGCTGGTCTTGAACATGCCTCAGCCACCTGGTCATGTGTGCCTCTTCCAAACCTGGAAATACACTGGTGAAGGTGTGCTGAATTAATGGTTTGAGATAAACCACAGAGGTGTTTCATGAAGCATCTTCTCTGGCATATTTCTGAAGTTGGAGTATGTGACTAAAATCATGTACCCAAAAGTTTCTGTAATGGCTTTTCCCTTAGAATTATTTCAGTTTAGTTTTCAACTAACACTTGGTTTTTCAAAGCTATTCCACAGCTCTTGTTGAATAAGAACTGAAAATACTGCAACCACTCACATTGCCAGTTATTGCTGTGAATACTCTGACACGCCAGAATATCTAGAAGTTTGGTACCATGTTTTGTATGTTCAGAGCTTAGAAGCTCCAAGCACTAGTCTATACTAACTCTAGTCATCACTGTGTTCCCATACATACTCAGATGCTTCAAGTAATTGTTATTTCTTTATTAGGGCTGCCAGGATTAAAAATATAAATACGTAATGCACAATTGTTTTAGCAATTACAGTGAAAGCTAAACTAACATTTTTTCACTTACCCTCTGAAGCAACTCAATTGAAACGCAATACAATAAGAGTCTTGCTGTCCTAATAGTAGGACAAGACCTCTGACCTCGTACTGCAGTTACTGGAAGCATGAGGGGTATATTTCCCAGTTCTTAGCCTTCCTGTTCCACAGTACTAGCTGCTCAGTCTTTTCTCCATAGTCATCACGCTGCATTTTCTTGTATGCTTCTCTTGCTTTGACTCAGCCTCCAGCTCTTCCATGAATCTAGGGTAATGCAGTGTTAGGGTCATTGCAATATATTATATTTTGCAGACTATAAATTTAATGATTAACTAATTTAAATAGTAACAAATGCTTTTCAAAGGAATCTTCAACATAGATACAAAACCTTGAGTCTTAATCACATTTCTTGCATTTTAGCAGAAAATTGTTTTGAAAAACATAGCTAATGGATATGTTAAAAATTCTGAATTGTAACTAGAACTGTTAAAGATTTTATCTGAAGAAATTTGTGGTCACCTTAGTATAACGTTGGGTTATTATTGTTCTAGTGCAGCATAATGGTATTTTCTACAACCTGGGAGATGATGTCTACCAATATAATAATAAACATAATACTCTTATAGTCCTGTCTTTGGCATATAATTACACTCATGCTCTGGAATGTACACCTAACTTCATAATTTAATTTAGCAGAGCCAAGAGAATTTTACCTGTATCTGTATATATACGAGCACTACTTGTATGTGTAAGTCCAGCTTATGCACAGATACCCAATTGGTATTTGCACTTTTAGTCAATGGTTGCATGTGATAGGTTGCATAATCAATTTTGATTGCTGGTCACTCTCTTTAAAAATCTGACCCTGTTTTCATCTTTAAACTCTACTACATATACTTTAGCAGTTGAATGTCGATGTTTCCATTTAGATCAAAAGTAAAAGAAGTTTACAATATAATAATTATTAACTAGTTTTAAAACCACCAGTTGCTTTAAATTGTTATTTTTTAGCATGAAGGATTATAAAATGTACTTTATCTACATTTTTTTCAACAGTGAATTTAGCAAAAATCCCCAGATTATACGTTTTGTGGGAAATCAAGTAACAATTAGAAGAGCTGATGGCTCACTTATTCATCTCAATGTATCACCTTATCCAGCTATTCTTCATGAATATATTAGCAGTTCAAAATGGGCAGATGCAGTCAGATTGTGTCGATTTGTTAAGGTAATTCTTAATAATATATGGTACAATTACAATTGTTTGTTTTTCATTTACATTTTAAGGATTATTTTATGGGAATGGTAATTATATAAGAAAATGCTATAAATTAGTATCTTTCTTCAAGTAGTTTCTTTACTGCATAGTTTTTCCTTTTTATTTTAGAGATGATATGGAAAAAACTTACAAAGTCATGTATTTTACTCAGCTGTTCACTTACTACACCTATTCAGCATGGGAAAGTTACTAATGAACATAATTCTTTTCAGAACTGACCTTTACACAGTTGGTATTATAAAAATGCTTTGTGACCCCATACAGTTGCCTAATATTGTAGAGTAGCATATCTTTTTTACATTTCTTTTCTTTCATTTTTTTTTTCATCACTTTCTGCTAATTTAGACAACAACAATGGATGAGGTGAGTTTGATAGTGTTGTGTGTGTACATGTACAAAAGAATATATATTATCATGATTTAAAATTGATACTGTGTCTTAAAACTACAGTGAAGCCTGGTTAATTAATCACTGGGATAACATGTCACTATGTGTCAGTGCCCTAAATCCCTGCTAGAATCCTGTTGACCTGTGTACAAAACACTTTGCTTAAATCATTATTCATTAAGCAGTTTGTAAGTCAGTTTGTGGGTCAGTCTGTCAATCCCTCTTTGAAGGGGAGCCTTTGCTCTTTCTTTAATAAAGAGTAGCTAACCTACATATATTTAGTGTAAGTAGTGAAAACTCAGGAGTTAGAGCAATACTTAAGCCCCATGCGTAACTAGAGTTCTGAGCGAGGGGGAGTTTGCTAGGGAGTTTGCCTGGAAACTCTCTCTCACCTTCCTTCACTGTCAGTTTGGTGAGAGGAAGCAGGGAAAAGGGAACCTTTTGGGACCAAGAAGCAGAAAACAGGCTGCCTTACGGGGGAGCTTGCTTGAAAAGAGGGACAGGAAGAGAGAGGCAGTGGTTTAAGAGACCTAGAGAAATGGCTGGAGGATGTCGAAATGCCAAAGCCATTGCCACTGCCAGCTTTTCCTTTGCTTACATCCATGAGCAACTGGTGCCTCCCAAGTCTGGGAGGGCACCAGACCACTGATGAGGGGTCCCCCAGAGGCTGATCGCCAAGTGCGAAAGCACCAGTGGCAAAACCAGAAGTGCACTTCTGCCGGCACTTCTGGTTTTGCGGCTGGCATTTCCAGGGGGTGTACAGCAATCTCAGGGGTTGCATGTGCACCCCCTACACATCGCCAATGCTAGGTTCCTGTCCAGGAAGTGGTGCTCACTGTTGAGGCTTCTGCCCAGGTCCTGGTTTGGTGCTGTGGTGACTATGACTTGCAGGTTCCTCCAAGTGACAGCCATGTAGGGGAGTGCTTGTGATGTTAGTGGTATCTCCTAGTAGTGTTCTTCAGGGATCAGGCAAGAGAATTACAGGAGGAGGTGGCAAGGCTCTGAAGCATCCTCTGCCATGAAAATGTCATTGATTCAGTGCTGAAGGAGACCTCCAGAACTGTGGAGGAAGAACTGCCAGAGGCAGTGCTAGAGAAGGAAGAAGACATGGACTTCCAGGAAGATGGAAGTTGGAAGCTTGTGACCTCTGGCAGCAAGCAGAGATCTTCATCTCCAGCTGTAACAGTTTGCTTAGAGAACAGGTATGGAGCCCTAGCAGCAGAGGAGGAGGACCATGTTCTGTTGGTGGAGGCAGCCAGACCAGACATCCCCAAGGTTGGGAAGATTAAGACCACTGCCACCAAAAGAAAATGATGAGTGATGGTGGTGGTTGGAGACTCTCTTCTGTTGGGGGATAGAGGCATCCATTTGTTGGCCTGACCTGTTGTCTCTGGAGTTCTACTGCTTGCCAAGAGCCCGGATCCAAAATGTCACGGAAGGATTACCAAGAAGGATTGCCTTGTATGATGATTGGCTTTGTGAATGCTGAGAGAGCAGTGGACACAATATACTTTGACTTTAGCAAGGCTTTTGATACAGTCTCCCACAACATTCTTGTAAGGAAGTTAAGGAAGTATGGATTAAATGAATGGATTGTAAGATGAATAGAAATGCGGTTGGATTGTAGGTCTCAGAAGATGGCAGCTGGTATCAAGTGAAGTGCCCCAGGGGTCAGTCTTGGGGTCTATCGTTCTATAACTTCAGCAACAACCTGGAAGATGGGATGGAGTGCACCCTCAGCAAGTTTGGAGATGACACCAAACTATGGGGAATAGTGGTAGAGGGTAGGGTTACCATTCAGAGAGGAGGATTGGACCAAAAAAAAAAAAAAATCTCATGAGGTTCAATAAGGAGAAGTGCAAAGTCCTGCACTTAGTCCTGCACAATCGCATACACAAGTACAGCAGCCTGGGGACTGACTGGCTAGGCAACAGCTCTGCAGAGAAGGACCTGGGGTTACAGTGGATGATAAGGTGAATATGAGTCAACGGTTTGCCATTGTTGCGAAGAAGGCTAATGATATATTGGGATGCATTAGTAGGAGCATTGCCAGCAAATTAAGGGAACTGATTATTCCTCTCTATTCAGCACTGTTGAGGCCAGATCTGGAGTACTGTGTCCAGTTTTGGACCCCTCACTGCAGAAAGGATGTAGACAAATTGGAAAGAGTCCAGTGGAGGGCAACAAAAATGGTTAGGGGGCTGAGGCACATGACTTATGAGGAGAGGCTGAGGAACCTGAGCTTGTTTAGTCTAGAGAAGAGAAGATTGAGAGGGGATTTTATAGCAGCGTTCAGCTACATGAAAGGTGGTTACAAAAAGATGGAGATATACCAGTGGTCTTCAACCTGTGGTCCACAGAATCTGGGGTGGTCTGCAGACTGTCTAAGGGCTCCACAAAAGATGAATGTGATCAATAAAAAGTGTGCGTATGCCCACACTTACAATTCAGAGGGTCCATACCTCCATTCAAAATATTTTAGAGTTCCACAAATGACAAAAGTTTGAGAACCATTTAGTGGTGGCAGGTGACAGAACAAGGAGCAATGGTCTCAAGTTGCAGCAAGGGACATTTAAGCTAGATATGGGGAAAAACTTTCTCATTATGAAGGTAGTAAAGCACTGGAACAGGTTACCCAGAGAGGTTGTGGCATCTCCATCCGTGGAGGTTTTTAAGACCCAGCTAGACCAAAGCCTTGGCTGGGATGATATTTTTGGGGATGGTCCTGCTTTGAGCAGAGGGTTGGAGTAGATGACCTCCTGAGGGCCCTTCCAACACTAACTTTCTATGATTCTGTTACCATACTTTAAAGCATAAGTAATCATTTCCAAATATGTACATGTACTAAATTGCAGTGGAATTTATTCCTGATAAGTAGTTGGTTTATAGTTAGTTACTTGTCCTCTGTGGTACTTGCTAAGCAAGCCATCTGATGTTCTACAGCTTTTCTTAGCTCACCAGACATAGCTAATCTACTGTTACATTTTGTAGAATTCTATTTTGGCGATTGGTATATGTAAAGTTGTAAAGCAAAAAGCTTTGACTGATTATTTTATTTCATTGTAACCATGTAATTCTTGCATAGTGAGCACTTGGAATTTTTATGGTGAGGAACAGTACAGTGTCTGTTTATCTCTGTAATCATACAGTTTTCGTATGCAAGCCAGAATATGTAGAACTTATACTTGGATTTTTTGTATATCTAGTTTTCACCATTATAAAAGTCAAATCATATTATTATTACCTATGACTTAGTATAGTATGCAAGATACAGCTATAAAAAGATGAAAATCATAGAATTGTAGAAAAATAGAGCTGGAAGGGACATCACAAAGTCACTTAGTCCAGCCCTCTACTCAAGGCAGGATCATTGTTGATTAAAGCCATCTCAGCCAATTTTCTGTCTCACATCCTCTTGACTAATTTCTAGTGATAGAGATTCCACAACTTCTCTAGCTAGATTTTTCCAGTGCTTGGCCACCCTCATAGTCAGAAAATTCCTCCTAATCTCTAACCTGAATTTCCTCTGCTGAAGCTCTAGGCCATTATTCTTGGTTCTGTCTTCTATGCCCACAGAAAAAAGGCCCATCTCCATTCTCACTGTAATAGAACCTCTGAAGTATTTGAAGAGTGTTTTCAAATCCTCACTCATTCTTTTCTTCTTCAAGTTAAATAACCATATTTTTTCCAGCCTTTCCTCATAAGTCGTGCATCCCAAGCCCATAATAATTTGTGCCGCTCTGTGCTGGATACAAACTGTCCACAACCTTCTTGAAATGTAGGACCCAAAACTGGACACAGGATTCCCAAGTGAGGTCTCACCAGTGCCACATAAGGTGGAAGAATCATTTCCCTTGATTTCCAAGTAACAATTAATGTTAATACAACCCAGTATACTTTTGACCTTTTTTCTTGCAACAAGAGCACACTCTTGACACATATTCAACTTATAGTGTACTGTAACCCCCTGGTCCTTCTCTGCAGTACTACAGCCTAGCCAATCATTCCCCAGTCCATATTTGAGCATACAATTATTCTGTTCCAAGTTCAGGACTTTGTTCTTGGCTAACTGCAAAATAGCTAACTACACAACATTAGTCACTTATGGATAATCAGTCGTCATTACCTATCCATTTGGAGTGATGAATTAATCAGATTTTCCTGTGTTTTTGTAGTACAGTAAAAGCTCCATAAACTGGCACCTTACAAGCCGGCATGTTCTATTAACCGGCATGCTGGCTTGTAAGGTAAATTGAAACTGGAAGTGGCCACCGTGGCACTTCCAGTTTCTCCAAGCGCCCACGGCCCGGGGCAAAGCAGCCCAGCCCCCATGGCCCAGGGCACTGCAGGCTGCACGGGGCCCACCTCCCTGTCCCTCAGGGTCCAAAGGGAGGGGTGGCAATGCTGCGGGAGGGGCAGGAGAAGCGGCGGCCTGAACAGGCAAAGATGCCTGTTTGGGCCACTCACTGAGCGGCATGGGTGCCGGATAACAAAGCTTTTACTGTATTTGGATAAATAAATAGGCCGATAAATGTTAGATATAGATAGATATCTATATATAGATAGATATAGAGGGTTAGATATCTATATATATATCTATATATACAATTTTTAGAAGTCTAAGTCACCATTTGCTTCGGTATTTATACTGAGGTTTTTTCCAGTATTTGATGGTTATAATTTTAAATGCAGTGCTTAATTAAATGACTCTGTGTAATTTCAGTGCACCCCTTCTTACATCTGCCGTTCTCTTGAAATTTTTTAAAATCAGTCTAAATCATGAGCATATATAAGCCATTTATTATAAGTGGTAAATTTTAAAATATTCTTTCCCTATAGATTTACATTTTTTAAAATCTCTTTTCATGTAATTATATTTTCTTAATCATATAGGCTTTTGATAGTCATAATTTCTTGCAGCTGTTTACTATCTTTGCACTGCACGTGTCTAGTGAGTTTAGGGGTGGTTAAGCATTAGGACTGATTAAAAGAGAAATTATTTAAAAGTTTCAGAGCTTTTTTCATCCCCTTTCTGTCTGTGTTTTCTTACCTTCCTGCTCCCTTTCATCATCTTTCCTTACCTGCTCCTGCCTGCCTACAAACCTGTCAGGAATAATACAGTTTTATTTACATTGCATTTCGAAAGTTGATCGGAGGCATAAGTTTGAGCAGTTTTCTGAGTGAAGAGACATTTAGGGCAATCTTGCCGGGGAAATTCCAAGAAAGAGAGAAATTCTGATACAAGCACAGACAGACATTTAAATTTGTTCTTGTTTAAGTTAATAATAAAGAAATGATTTAGGAACAGTGTAAGGCCCAAGTCTTGCAGATAGGAGGGTTAGCTTTATGCACCCTAGTGAACTCAGCATGACTTGTTTATATAGTTACATGCCAAAGTATCAGTGATCTAAAGAGAGTAGTTTGGATATACCTAGCATATGTGTTTACTGTACTTTAAGTAGGTAGGATTTTCATGTTGCTTATAAGGGCCTGTCCACACTATGGTAAACAATGCATTTTAAAATTGTGTTAACAAATCTATTTTAATTAAGATTTAAAACTACAGCAACTTCTTCTTGGGTATTTCTGTTTCATTTAAATATGAGATTGTAAGAACAAGAGTTGAGAGATTTTCATATTTGTTATTTACAGAGACATAGGCATACAATTATGCAAATCTATGCTCTGTAGTAGGCTGTAAATCAGTATAAGCTCATTACAGCATAGGAGTTTTTGTATTGGGTAGTAACTGAAAAATAATGTCATGATTGTACTAGTGAGACATCCAGAACCAGTGTGTAGGGAACTGAGAAAACTTTCACAGTTATGTACCCATGCATAATTTTCACCAGGTGAACATCCTCCCTGAACTCTTTGAGAGAACTGTGTTTCATTATAATATGCAATTTAAGAAATTTTAGGCCTTTTATTTTGTTTTAATTTTAGGATCAAACAATGTGGGCATGTTTAGCTGCAATGGCAGTTGCTAACAAGGACATGACAACAGCAGAAATAGCCTATGCAGCAATTGGAGAGGTAAGTAGTTGGGGTTTAACTATTCTTAGCTAACTGATTGCAATGCAGATTTAGTTAGTTTATTTCGTTAAACTGTCACACTTCTTTGTAACAGATTGACAAAGTTCAGTACATCAATTCAATCAAAGATCTTCCATCAAAAGAATCAAGGATGGCTCATATACTGCTGTTCAGTGGAAATGTACAAGATGCTGAAACCTTGCTTCTACAAGCTGGCCTTATTTATCAAGCTATTCAAGTCAACATTAATCTTTACAACTGGAATAGGTAGTATTTCTCTCAACATACTGCTGCTGTTAGTGTTAATAATTTTACTGAGGTGACATTTTAAATATTTAAAAAATTAATATTTTTTCTCTATAGTTGCCAAGATCTTGAATTAAATCATATATCAATTGCTAAATAAAGAAATACATTATTATAATGTTAGATTTCTTGTTTTTAAAGTAAGTATTCTTTCTGTAGTTAAGGGAATATGCCAGTGTTTCTACCCCTTCATACTGTAATTATCTACAGTACCCTCAGAGACGCTTTTGAAAGGCATTTTAACTTCTTCATAAATAGAGAAGGAAAAAATGAGTCATCAGCAAAAATTATGATTTATGTGGGTCTCTAAAAATAAAGATGCTTTGAAATATCTTGCTTAAAGCAGGTATATGGCTTCACTAGCTGGTATTATGTCATTGGGAGAGAAAATATGAGTTAAGAATTTTTGTTCTTAAATAAAAAATCAAACAATTTCTCATGTTTGCCCAAGGGTGTAAATCTCATCGCAGGAGTGTTTGAGGTTTACATGTTCAGCAGACCCTTTAAAAACTGGTGCTGCTATCAAAAGACAAAGAGTCTCTAGAGGGTTTTGTTCTCCTCATTCTAATTGTCTCATGGTGAGAACAAAAAGCCCACAGGAGTAGGGAAAGTTTCCAACTTCTCCTGTCACCACAAAAAGCTCCTGCTTCTAGCTGAGGGTGTATGGGGAAGACTGTGTGCAGCCTGCCCACCCATTTGGCTGCTTGTGTTCTTCCTGCCCACTGCCGCCACTTACCTTCGGCTCTTGCTTCAGTCTCTACCTGCCTGGAGCTGGATCTGGAGCTGCACCCACTGCAGAAATAAGTGGCAGGGGCAAGCATTGCAGGCAGATAGGCAACAGGGAGTCAGGAATAGGCATGGGGAGCCAAGGGGTGGGGGAGAAGCGGGTAGGAGATGTGGCAGGGGTAAGTGGTGGGGGAGCAGGCACAAGCATGGAGCTGGACCCAGGCAGGTGAGAAAAGGGCAGGCAGAGGTCTGGCTGCTTTTCCTACCATAGCAGTGGAGGGTGGGAGTTATGAATGTAAGGTGATCCTCTAATAATAAGATTCTATGCATGGAAACTCATAATAAATTTATAATTTTCCATGTATAGAATCTAATTATTGGAGGGCCATCTTAAATTTTAAGTCATCTGGAATTTGGATAAATAAGATACTTAAAATAAGGTAGAACAAGGGACTTAAACCACTTTTCAATCTGAATTTGTAAATGTACTTTCTAGGAAAAAAATAAGCAATTGTAGTATGTTGGTATGTTCAGAATTTCATTTGCATATTTTATAGTAATTTAGAAAATATTATCACAATGCATATAGTACAAATATTCATAAGTATTCTATCCCACTCGACTAATCAGATTTTTTTATCTGGCAAGCACATTATCAGTCTGATATTGGTAGTGTTGCCAAAAATATCTCACCTGGAAAAATGTTTGAACTACCCATTTCTAAGCTTTTACAATTATTTTTATATCACTTAGAAATTATGCCCAGATTTACAATTTATTGTTGCAGTTGCTGAACCTTCCCATCTTCATATCTTTAAAAGTGCTGACTTGTATATGTTATGAATATGTATGGTGATACTATTCAAGAGCCAAGAGATTTTTTTATTCACAGCAATAATTAATTAATTAATTATCAACTCTTTTATAGTGATATGATTACAATCAACAGTAAAAAAGATTTTTTTTTCAATTTCTGTTTTTAATAAAGTTTCCTGTTGTCATGTGTCCATAATAGGCTTAGAAAATGTACAGAAATAAAATGTTAGTTGTCATAATGAGCAACATAAAATACACTGTCCATTTCAGAGAAGTTGGCTACTTTCCACCACCTTTTATTAATACTAATGCAAAAATGCTTGGCACTTTGCATCAGGAAGATCTGTCTATCACTGTAAATCATATCTTTTTAGAAAGCCAAAGAGAATATAGCTATGCCAGTATGTTGATACAATATGACAAGCCCATTTTTGTTTGATTTTAGGGCACTAGAACTAGCAGTAAAACACAAGACACATGTTGATACAGTTCTGGCTTATCGACAGAAGTTCCTGGAAGATTTTGGTAAAAAAGAAACTAATAAACAATTTTTACAGTATGCTGAAGGTGTAAGTATTCTCTGGGGAATTTATCCTACATTTTCAGAAGGTCAGCTTACTTTTTGTAGTCATAAAATTGTGCACATAAGAAAAAGTGCGTGCACATTTATGTCTTTCAATTCAGTGTAGAGCCAAATGTTTGTTGTTACATATTGATGTATCTGACTTTGGGTATAGATTAATAGTTTAATTCATAACTGGTAACATTTGTGGACAATATTTACTAGAGGACATAAAATGTGTGCGTGCAAATTTTGAAACTTGCAGGGACTGTGCAGATGCAAGAATGAACAGGGAGTTGGTCCTGAGTTTGGTGATTATTGTACAGATATTAACAGTGATTAATCTCTAAGGGTATCCAGACAAAAAAATAACAACCAGTCTTGAACTGTTACGTTGTATATGATAAATACATTACTAAAATAGATTTCATAGGTATACAATTCTATAGAATCCCTATAATTCCTATTCAGAATTGCGGTAGATCAGGTTAGTTGAAAACAAAGATATTAACCTCAGTTGGTTGGTTGATTAGCATTTTGTATGTTCTTAAAGGCTAAGAAGGAACGATTTTGATCATGTGCTAGAAGCAGGCATCTTCATGTATCTTCAGCATATTTTTACATCTGGGATGTACCAGTGGTACAAACTGTAATAGTGGGACCTTTTAATAGCAGTGTTCTTTGGAGTGTGTTCCTGACCCCTCCTGCCACTTCCTGACTGGTCCCAAATGTCCTGAGTGTGAAGTTATATATGGGGTTCAGGTCATCTGACCACTTCAGTTCCTTCCAACTACTGTGTCCAATGGATTGCATATCAGGTCCAGGCTCTTGACTCCAGGTCCTTTGTTTGGATAGTGCCATTTTATTAGTGTGCTTAGCTTTCTATGGTAATTAGCTTTTGGCATTTAAGGGTGATGTATTAATTAAAAAAGTAAGCAAGCAAGCAAGTGTAAGATACCTAGCTGGCTGGGAGGTTCACCTCTCCTCAAGATAATTCAGTCTGTAGTACTTTCACTTCAAGAAGGCAGAAAGAGCAATAGAACAGATTCCACACACTGCTGCTGCAAGAGGTTCTAGCAGTCAAGGCCTCCTAATCCAGTACATCTTGTGGATGAGTGCGCATAGACCTGGGGGGAAGAGAGACGAGACCACTGAAACAGATGGCTTTAAGTTCCAAGCACTAAGAAACCTCTTATAACTAAAAATGATTCTGAACTTTTGTATCTATTGAGAATCAGGCCCACCACGATAGTCATAAACTCTGTGAGGAGAAGTTAACACCCCCAGACTTAGTTCTGAGAAGCTTAGGAAGTTCCAAGCAAAAATCTAATTTGTACATTTTGTGCCAAAAACTGTTCAGTTACCATAATGTATTGGCATAGTAAAAATAATGTCTTTGGACAAAGATGGCTGTATTTGCAAAACTCATACCTAGCGGAACAGAGAAAAATAGCTAATGTGCTTATCTCTGAAGACCAGCTTGTTGCAAGGCTAGAAAAGGTCAATCTTACTACCCAAGAAAAGATTCCTTTTGTAGAGGCAGTTTGGCTTGCAGAATGGTACAGCTTTTCTGTCAGAAAGCCACTGCCAAGTCCCACATCAAAGAGTGATATTCTTTCTCAGATTAATGGACCTTATCAGAAGGTTGTGCCCACACTCCTGCTGTGACTTAAAACAAGGGGTTCCTGGCTAGAGGGTCTTGCCCCTCTGCTCAGGGCCAGATTGATCACTGTATTTGGGGTCAGGAAATAATTTTACCCCATGGTGAAATCAGTACGGACTGTGGTGGTTTTTGCCTTCCTTTGTAGTGGGGGGTGTGGTCCTCTTCCTTGGATCTCTTGAGTGTGTTTTAACAACCTTTGCATCAGCAGGACATTGGCTGCTGTGGTCCCCCTGCTTTACGTGTGGCAGGTTCAGGTGTTATATCTTGTAGTTGTGTCAGGGCTGATTGTGTAGTTTGTCTGATAGTTTAGGTAATGATTTGTATAGGATGTTTTGGATAAGGATGATCCTTCCTCAGGTGGGGGTTAGGCTAGATGACCTATGGAGATCCCTTTCAGCCTTACTTCTCTGATTCTACAACCTCAGTTTTTTATGTAATATCTTGTGCTCTGATGCATTCCTAGTCATATTGATGATATCTTTTAGGCACCCATTCCACTTAAAATAATCTGCAGGATTGCAATGTAGAGCTCCATAGAGGTGTTTATAAAACTACTTCTTGGACTGCATCTACATCTGAGGTTTAATTTGGCTAAGTAATACTTTGGTCATTTTTTTCTTGAAGGGAAGCATTGTTTATTAAAATACCCCAAGAGTTGGAATATGCAGAAGACACTTGTAACCAGTGTTCTTTAAGATGTACTTTGTGTATTCATGCTTGCTGCTCACCTTCCTATGTTCTTAAGAGTTCTAATTATAATCTCAGACTTGCAGGCAGAAGTGGTAGGAACTGTAGCTGAACTTCACCCTCAAAATATTCAGGAATAGAGAAAAGAAGTCAGGGAGCATATCAGAAGTTCCACTGACACATTCCAGGAGTGTAAATATACATAGTACATAGAAATGTACATAGAATTTATGAAATTCTTAAATTTCTAGGTTCAGAAGGGACCTATTATATCATCAAGTCCAACCCCTGCTCTGGGTAGCAAAGAGCGTTGGGGTCAAAAAGCTCCAGCCAGATGCTTGTCTAATCTCCTTTTGAACACCTCCAAGGTAGGAGAAAGCACCACCTCCCTTGGAAGTCTGTTCCACACTTTGGCAATCCTTACCATAAAGAATTTGTTCCTGATGTCCAATCTTAATCTACTCTCTTTCAGTTTATGGTCATTTTTTCTAGTAACCCCAAAGAGGCACCCTGGTAAAGAGAGTACCCCCTATTCCCTGCTGACCCCACCCCAATGAGTTTGTAGACAGCAACAAAATCACCTCTCAGCCTTCTCTTGTGGAGACTGAAGAGATTCAGGTCCCTCAATCTGTCATCATAGGATCTTATCCACAGGCCCTCAACCATATGAATAGCCCTCCACTGAACCCTTTCCAGGTTATGCACATCCCTCTTGAAGTGTGGCACCCAAAATTGGACACAGTACTCCAGTTGCAGCCTCACCAATGCCGCATAGAGGGGAAGTATCACCTCCCTAGACCTACTCGTGATGCACCTGCTAATGCAAGACAGAGTGCAGTTAGCCTTGCTTACTACCTTGTCACACTGGTGACTCATGTTCATTTTTGCATTGACTATGACTCCGAGATCCCTTTCCACTGCTGTGCTACTTAGAATGGTACTTTCCAGTCTATAGGTGTACTGGTGATTCTTTCTCCCCAGGTGTAGCACTTTGCACTTATCTTTGTTAAATTGCATCCTATTCTAATCCACCCACTTCCCCAGTCTGTCCAAATCCACCTGAATTTGCTCCCTACCCTCTAGTGTGTTTACTATACAACATAGTTTGGTGTCATTTGCAAATTTGGACAGGGTGCTTTCTACACCCTCATCCAAATCACTGATGAAGATATTGAACAGTACTGGTCCAAGGACAGGGCCTTGGGGGACACCACTGCCCATGTCTCTCCAGTTAGAAACCAACCCATCCACCACCACTCTCTGTCTGCGTCCCATAAGCCAGTTTTCCACCCACCTGACTGTGAAAAAAATCCATGTCACAGCCAGTTAGTTTACTTGTAAGAATTGGGTGTGGCACCGTGTTGAAAGCCTTTTTTTAAAATCCAAGTAAATAACATCTACCTCTACTCCTGCATCTGAGCACTTTGTGACCTAGTCATAAAAAGAGACCAGGTTAGTCAGGCAAGGTCTGCCTGCTATAAACCCATGCTGGTTGCCTCTTAACATAGTATTACCTGCTGGCCCCCCACAAATGTGATCCTTAATGATTTTTTCTAACGTCTTGCCAAGAATAAGGTAAGGCTAACCGGCCCATAGTTACCACAGTCCTCCTTCCTCCCCTTCTTCAAAATGGTGACCACATTGTCCCTTTTCCAGTCTTCTGGGACCTGTCCTGAGTTCCATGAATGCTCAAATAGTTGTGCCAGTGGTTTTGCTATGACACTGGCCAATTCCTTTAGTACCCTTGGGTAAAGATCATCAGGGCCTGCCAACTTAAATACGTTCAACGCCTCCAAGTGCCCCTTCACCAAGTCAGCACTGACTGTTGGTGGATTGGTATCTTTCTCAAGCCAGACTAAAGTCTGGTTGGGAGGTGTGTTTGTATCCATGACCAGGAACACAGATGCAAATAAACTGTTTAAGAGCTCAGCTTTGTCCATCCTATCTGTTATGAGTTGCCCTAGTCCATCCCGTAGCGGCCCTATGTTACCCTGCACTTTCTTCCTACTCCCTACGTACTTAAAGAAGGACTTTTTGTTACCCTTAATCTTTGTTGCCAGCCTAAGTTCTGTTTCTGCTTTGGCCTTCCTCACTGCTTCCCTGCAAGCATGAGCCAAGCACATATACTCCTCCTTGGTGGCTGTCCACTGCTTCCATCACCTGTAAGCCTCTCTTTTCCCCTGTAGGCTCTTGGATTTCCCTGCTCTGCCAAGAGGGTTTCTTGGCTCTTCTGCTTCCCTTTATATGTACTGGGTTGGTAGCCCTCTGTGCCCGCAGGAGCAGTCCCTTGAGGAACTCTCACCCTTCCTGGACTCCCATGTCACCGGATGTTATTACCCCTCAGTCCTACTCTAACTAATCTCCTGAGCTTGTTGAAGTTGGCCTTCCAGAAGTCTGACACTTCTGCCCTACTAGTTATCTTTCCCACCTTACGACGCATAGTGAATCCTATCAACAGGTGGTCACTATCTCCTAGGTTACCTTATACCTGCAGATCTCCCACCAAGTCTTCCCCTGTGGCCAGCACCAAGTCAAGTAAGGTGTTTCCCCTAGTGGGACTGCATACCTCCTATGTTAGGTGCAGGTCCTTACATCTCTAAGAACTCCAGTTACAGCTGAATAACCTTTATTTTAGGTTCTGCTGGGGTTCAAGCCCAGAAGAGTAACCATGGAACGTTGTTGAGCAACCAGAAAAAATGTCATGTGCATTGCAAGACTTGAATGCGAATCATATCTATAGACCAAAACGTTACTTGCGACTGTTTGTACCACATTGCATGTATTGGATGCACAGTGGTAATATTAATCAGGAGTACATGACAGTTGGGCTGCTGAATTATGAATACAGTGAGAAACACAAGTGGCCGATATTGGAATACCAGTACCAAATTCATTACACTGATTTGATTTAGAGGTATTCATTTTTTGAAATGGGGGTATTGAGAGTGCAGTCCATTGTGGGCCAGCATTATGACTACTAGGCATCAGTTAGTATCAGTTTTATCATAATGGCATTCTGATGTTCCTGTCATGTGCAACAATATAAAAATATAGATAATTTGAAAAAAATTACCTGTGTCAAGTGGTGTGAAACTGAATGGCTCTAGGAGGGTTGAGAATAAGTAGGTTGTTTATTTTTTTGGCTATATAGCTGAGTTAAGTTGAAGTAAGATTGCCATTGAATTAAGGGCAATTGTTTGTAATACTTCTTGGGTAACTTATCCTCATAATCAGTCTAAAATATGTTTTGATTTCTGCATTGTTTCCTTCTTCTGCATGTGACTGGGAGCAGTGCAGTAGGGCAAGGGAAGTGCTTTGAATTAGCTGCATAGACTGGGATGTCAGGAAAGCAGTAGAATAAGCAATTGCACTGCACTTTTAATTTTATAATGGTTCTTCATAACACCTTGTCACTCCCAATTCACAGGTCTTCTCCATCCCTCCAAGCAGACTATTGCAAGAAAGGATTTTCTCTGACACTTAGCTCAGCCTGCATCTCCCTCTTTCTTACATGTGAGGACAGGCATTTGATGCTTGAAAGCTTGTCCAGTAGCTCTCCCAGCTATACAGTTGGTCCTATAGAAGATATCATAAAAAGTCCTTGCCCCTCAGACATTTCCAGGACTGTCATGACTAGAACACTCCAACCCTGATTTTTTCTTTAAATGTGACAGTCACCAGTGTGCATGAGTTCAGCTATTAATGCATATCAATCCTGGCCTGAAATCAGAAATCTGCTAGCAGAAAAAACAAAAGAATGAGATAAGATGCTGGTTTGGACAATGTAGCTGTATTACAGTCAAAAATGAACAGCATGCCAACAGTGTTTGACTATGAGAATGAGACATACCTACCTGGGAGCCAATTTGAATCCTTTTCATCTGTCTAACGTTCATAGTTTCACTGAAACAGGGTACTGTCACAGATGATGTTTTTCAGCAGGTGGAAAAGTGCCAAGTCATAGCTGAAACATTTGTCAATACAAAAAACAAGTATCAAGTGGCAATCTTATTTTTCCATCAAATGACTAATGTAGATACCATCAGTTTGCTTGATGGACTATTGGTATAGGAGAGGGAAGTTGCTTAATGTACCATTAATGAATGGTTCAATTCTGAGTGATGTGACAAATAGATTTCATTTGTTTTTAAGTTGGAAGAAGGCCAGTGGGCTCATCTAAATTTATTTCCTTGTATCAGTATTTTCTCCTTACATATGATATTTGTTGTTGCAAAGTTTCAACTCTGTTTGATGTCAAAAATGGGAACCTAAGAGATCATACTCTTTATCAGAACATGTGGCATAGGCCCCTCCAGGTAATCTACACACATAGCTCCCATTAGTATTAACTGTAGCTATTTGTGTGCATCAAGAAGGGGCTTATGTAAAGAGTGAGCAAATTGTTTTGTAACTTGTACCTTAAAACACTCATGTTCTTCATTAGTAGACTTCTAATAAAATGTGAAAATTAGTAGACTTTTAATAACATGCAGCTACTGTCTTTCCTATTCTTACAGCTGGAAGTTGATTGGGATAAAATCAAGGCCAAAATAGAGATGGAAATTGCTAAAGAGAGAGAACGAGCAGCAAGCACTCCACCGGTCAGGACCAGCGTGACTGTTCAGCACTAAGTGCCATACTGATCACATTAGTTAGTTGTTTTATCAGTCATTAGTTACATCTGTGTATTAAAAAGTATAAGTAAGAATTAACATTTTCCAAAGAGTGAGAAGGAATTGGCAGTTTTGCTTTTGGACAATGTGCAGAATTTCTCGCCAGTGCGTTGTCAGTGCCCCCTCCTGCTTCCCTTATCCACTGTAATCTGTGGAACCATGTGAGCAAGGAAAGAGAATGGGGCTGGTCCTTGTCTTAATCTTTCAGCTTTTCATAGCTTTGGAGTTAACCATATTTAGTCTTTGGATACCTGGAGTTATACAGTGATGTATATGTTTAAGCTCCTAAATAAGCTTGTCTGATTTGCCAGCAGCTGCAGGGCTCAGGTACATGGCACTTGTTTAGGTGCCCAGCTATAGACACCTCAATGTGAAAAGTGCAAGGCTATATTTGTAAACCAAAAAAAGGAATATTTCATTTGCAGTTAAATGTATTAAACCATGAGAAGACTGTCCCAGTGTTGAAGTATTTTCAGATAATACATATAATTTATTATTTCAAATTAGTTGCTTACAATTATATATTATGTTGTTGGGTAGCTTTTGGGAAAAAAGATTATCATGGAAAAATCATCTCACATTTAATACAGCATGGAAGGTCTTTTAAATTTTAACAAAATATGTGTTTTCTGAAAATACCGAATATGTAATTAGCCATAGTGTTCAGAGCTTCATTAAAAATTAGAATATCCTATTTCTTTAGTTGAAGAATAACATTTCATGTTTGTATGCTGTCCAGCGCACTTGGTTAAAATTTTAGTGGTGTTACACATACGCCGTTTCATCAAAGTATACTCTTCTTTTTTTCCTGTTACATGCATATACTGTGGTTTGTCTGCATGATTCCTTTGCAATATTGGGATGTTAATGTATTACTGGTAGCTGAAAGACGTTAAAGTAATTATATATAATATTTATCTTTCAGATGTT